TTTATACCATGTGTATGTATACTACCGGTTATACTCTGTTGCTTCCTGTCGCAAACAATGCATATTTATCTAACGTCCATTGTCAGCATTATTATCAGTCAAGACTTCGTCTGAAAAATTGTTTTATTTTTTAAGTCTATATTCTATTTTAATAACACCATCTTACTAAGGCAATGGCGATAAAAAGAAAGAAAGCAAAGACACCAATGATAGACGAGGCATAGAAAAATCTGCAACTCAGGGTCATATTTACTAATTTAGATTTGCCTGCAGCCTGTTGTGATTCCGATGCAAAATTACAGGACTTTGGTGTTCACCCCTCGTTTATGCAATTTATATTTATTTTTCAAGAATTTTTCATCAGAATCGCAACAGATAGCAAGCACGTCTAGATCATAATATGCACAGGGGCTTGTCGACTGACCGCGAAATTCGTTCTCGCCTAGGGGCTTTCGCGGTCAGTCGAGAAGTCCCTGTGCATATTATGACCAACCTCGCGAGTGGTTCGAAGGGGACGATTAGGCTGAAATATTCGCATCAACGCGAGATGACGACACCCATACGTGAGACCGTTGAGGGCCGGTTATCAGACGAGGAAGTGAGTACAGGAAATCTGTTGCTCGTCGACATCGGCCACATAAACAAAGCCATCGCTTCCGTTTATGCAGAGACCGTGCACTCATCTAATTTTCCGTTGACACTGCCGTTTTACTAGGAGTTTTCCATCTTCAGCAGTAGTTTCAATCCATTCACACAGCTTTACGTTTTTCCTCTTTTAATATTCTTAATAAAACGCCTAGAAACAGTTTGACCCGCTACACGCTTTATTTGGGAATTCAAAGTCATGAATATATACTTGCTAATGAAAAAAAAAGAAAGTAACATCGTGTGAAACGTACTTCGCGCTCTACTCGCTTTGAAGCTGCCGCCTATGCTAATGAGCATAGTTGCGGACGAAGCCTTACAACTTCAAGATGGCGTTAATGTTAACAGCTCCCTGGTGTTACACCGTAATAAGGCACCCAACATCAACGTGTATGTGTTTTGTAACCCCTCTCACCCCCTCTGGGGGATCGTTATACATGTTAATAAATCAATGTTAAATACTTGCTGATTACCGAACCGTGCGGCATGTCGTCGGTAAATACTTGTTTACCATAGTTTGCGAGCAGTCGGCGAAATAACATTTCTATAAGGCATGCTGTGTACCCTTACATCGATCGACCATTGAGATTCGCGCTGTTCGACCCACCAACCAATGGGAATCGTGCTCTTTGCAGAGTGACACTGGGATCCTGTCGCAGAGTGCAATAATTGACATTCGGCAAGTCGCACAATCGCGTCGCAGAGTTAGTTTTTAGACCCCCATACATACATGTACCTCCAAACTTGGTACACTGAACAGTTGTGTTTTTGCACATCAACAAAAGTTGACTAATTTCCAGCAAGTTGACATTTGACAACATGGACATTACTGACTCATACACATCATTAAATTCACAATAGAAAAGGAAACATTTAATTATTTATTATTTATATTTATTATATCAATATATATTATTAAAGGTAATTTTGTACTAGTAAGTAAAGATGCTTTAAAATATCTGATTTGTTTTCAATTTGTTATATCATTTCAGACAATATACAAGCAGTGCATTTATGACCATGAGAAACGTGAAGAACTGACAACTGCATTTCCTCTCAATAAATCTGAGTATGATGTCCTCTACTCCAGCCCAAGTGAGAATAAATCTACATCTCTTGCCGTGAGTAACTTACTGCCAACTGATGTGACGACAGAGAATTCCACACTGGTATTAGAACTGACATCTATTGTACGCCGAGATATATCAAAAGATTGTGGAAGACCATGGAGTTATGTACCATCAAGCATACTGCCTGATATGTGGATTATTGTTTATTGGACATCACAGATACTTACATGGTAAGAATACTGAGCAACCTGTTTGATATTGAAATACAAAATGGTGTATAACATGAGTGTACCCTCTAACAGGACTGATTTTGTAGAAACCCTGAGTCAAAAAAGGAGGGGGATTGTAATTCATTCTAGTGCTGTACCATACTGCTGTGGTTGGTGGACACACTCTGGTCCAATGTCCAGTTCATTTGGGATATTTGAGTGAGGATTGGAAGGATTCTAGCTTCCAAATAATGGTTGACATATGCATGTAGTTAGTCTACCAGTTAATATCAATTTTCAAA